TGTTTGTTGTTGGGTTTTTTTGGAGGGAGGTGGGGTTAAGGCTTTTTTAACGTACCGTATCAAAAAGAGCAGAGTGGTGGTGTTGAGTATGCAGAGGAATATAAAAGAGGGTGTTAAATGATGGTTCGACATTCATCTCACTGTAACCCTAACCCTAACCCTAACCTGTCCCTAACCATAACTACAACCCCAAACCTAACTGTAATCCTTATCCTTACCCCAACCATTAGTCAAGAGTAGATATATAAATTTATTGTTGTTTTGTCAGTAACGTGGTGGCATAGCCTATTTTTGTTGAATATCCGTTTTATATGTTCATTTTTTTCATCGGTATTTTAGTATTATGATAGAAGAGCTGAGACAAAGCTTATTTGGTGGTGGGGGTCTTCTAGAATTCTTTTCGACCTCGAGTTAAAAATGGTAATGTAATTATTACAAATTATTTTTGTTTCCGACGACTACGATACAAATGAATGACGATTAACGAAACAGGGGAAGCTACTCTGCGAATTGTTTCATATTTTGCTTTCCTTTCAAGGAACATGAACCATAAACAACAAGGAACTGAACTGTGTTTCAGCATCTTTGGTTTCAGTCTGTAGAATCTTTGATTTATAATGGGCGAATTGCAATCTTGTGACATAAGATGTGATGTTGCTTCCATTTCAGGAAGTACAATATGATGTTTATCGGAACCTTTAATCTTGATCAAAAGTAAATATTGTGAAGTGTGGTCAGAGATTGGATTCTAGCATTTTGAGTACCGAGGGTTTTATATTATTGGGTTTTGTTTTTTGTTTTTTTTTCATTTTTGTTTTAGTTATCTGTGGTTTAGAATTGTCTGAAAATGGCCAGTGAGTTGAGTAATGGTGCTTGTAAGCCAGCTGGAGCCGATGAAGAATCTAGATCTAGATCTATCCCTGACCCTGTCCCTGTGAAACCAGACGACAAGAGTTGTGGGCCCACTTCAACGCCCATTCTGACAAGTGTGGTTTCAAAGTCTAAATTCATGCCTGCAACTTTGGAGGAATTTTTGAAAGCTTGCCCCTTAAATGAACTTAAGGTAAGGCTGTCCTAAGTTTTTTTACTTGGTTTGGGGATTATTGTTTTGGCAAACGCTTCTATTTGCAACGCCGCATTCTGAATAGCTACCGTGCTATTTGAAACGCCAGTACTAGAACTAGATCTAGAATCTAGATTTAGATCTATATCTAGATGTAGTAGCCATCGTTTCTACATGATAATATTGTAGTTCTGCCTGAATTGTGGAAGCTTTCTCATTTTTTTTATCAACCTCCTAGGATTTGACTCCTTTTTTTATGAGAGGTTGTCTTATTCCGATCAATATTGGGTAGATCTAGATCTAGATCTAGATCTAGAAAAATCTAGATCTAGATTAGATCTAACAATTGTTTCTGACATTGTTTGCACAAAAGTAGATCTAGCGTCTTGTTTATCTCTCATAATCATAATCATCTTAGTTAGAGTTTGAGCAAGTTTAAGTCGAAAGACGCTTGGATAACAATAACAAGACGGTGCAACTCTAATTTTAAGTTAGGCCTAGAGAACGTATACAAGCTGTCTACTGTCTACGTTCTCTAAGTCTAATGTTCAGTGCTTCCAAGCGTGGCATCAAATCCCGGTCTCGAAAGGGTTTTTTTTTTTTCCTTTTCCTGAGCCTAAAATTTAAAACCAAAAAAAAATTAGACTCACAGACCAAGGAAAGCCACTACTGAACTTTAACCAGGCCTAAATTGGTAAAAGGAAAAGTATAGGCTATATTAAGGCCTACTTTGTACAGAGCTCCTCTTGGGGACAAAACCAGAATATAATGTGCATGCTTCATCGCTACATAAAAAAACTACAAAGCAACAAAATATAATTATGGGAACAATTTGTTGGTCAGTCGAGAATAGGACAACCACTACAAAAAAAAAAAAAGAAAGTGGCTATTCTCACCCACCCGGAAGTTCTCGCAAGATCAACTCCTCCCCTCTTCTCTCTCTCTCTGTCTCTTTCTGAATACTGTCTATCGGTGTGGACGATCAAATTGACCAAAACAAAGTTTAAAAATGATGTTAAAACACAAAAGTAAATTAATTTGGTTGTCTACAAAGATGCTACGGCTATTTAACTTTTCGAATCGAGCCGAACTACGCGGGTCGCCATTTTGTTTTGCCCGGAAATTCTCGCGCTACTCCTCTCTCTCTTTCTCTCTCTCTCTCCACTGCCCACAGACAAAATTGTACGCTTTTAGTAGGCTACAATTGTAATGGAACGTTTGTTCACGGCACAGAATTCTACAATTTTTCTGTTATCACAGTGTAGAATTCTGTGGTTTAGGGTGAACGCAAAATTTGGTGAACGCGCACCGGGTGAGAATAGCCACAAGACTCGCCTGCACTATTCTCACTCCGGGTGAGAATAGAGGTGGCCAAAAAAAAAATAAGGAGAAAAAAAAAAAACGTCCAGGACCGGGATGGAACCCACGCTAAAAAATAATGGTTTGACTTCAAGCGCAGACGCGCTGTCACTTCGGCCATCAGAACTTCCGATAACGATGTGCAGATTAAGCTTGATATTTTACACACAGCGACACGGCGTTTTATTTAGCACTGGCGCTAATCGCAACGCGGCGTTGCAAATATAGGCACTTCCTATTGTTTCTGTTTATTTGGAGGATACGGTACTATTTAAATACACTCTTCATTTGGTGGCGGTACAGGTTTGAGTCATTCGATTGCCTGGCAACGAAACTAGGCCTACATGCTTCCCATTGATTCTTTAAACTTTTAAGTTTTGCTCTAAACTGCTGGAAGAAATTTTGTAACAAGAAGCGACCTAGACTATGAAATAGATACAGTCGAACCTGTGTTTACAAGACGGCCACCTATTGTCAAAAAAGTGGTTATAAAACAGGTGGCCCTCCTAGGCAAGACTGATTAAAATGAAGAAAGCAAACCATTTACTTCTGAGGTCCCAACCAAAGGTAGCCGCATTGTTGTTTTTGTTGTTGTTGTTTCCGTTGGTTAGTTTTTCTTAAATTTGCTTTTTTTTTTTTTGTTTGTTATTGATTTTGTCCTGGGGTGACAATAAAACAAAATGTGTCAGAAGAGGAAGACCAAGTTCCCTGGTAAAACAAATACATGGATCACCACCACTCGGAGAACGTGCGACACTTCTGCCCCAAGTTCATGTTGACATCCATTATTAAAGACTGGATAAATAGTGACTGGTCACCTCACGTACGATTTGTGTATGAGCTCTGGGCGGGGCTTGGGTTATAATGAGGGATCATATGCTTACAGTGGCTTACCTCACCAGCAGCTGAAAATTTGTTACATGTTGGTCAACAGGGGGAGGGGCCTACGCAATGTGATTGGTTGGAGGGACTACCTAACAACAAGGACATGTGATTGGATATGACGACTCGCCCACCACGCCAGGGGCCAATACATAGTTTATTTTATGGCAAAACATAATGGAGTCACAAAGGTGGTCGTCTTTTCTAAGACAGGTGTTATTGTTTGGTGTGATAGGGGTTGTGTGTTAAAATATTGTGGCCGCGTTGGACAGGCGGCCGTTTTACACTGTTTAAAAGTTATATCGAAAGTACACAAAGAGGGAAATGGAAAGTGGCCGTTTGTACAGGTGGCAGTCATGTTCAGGTTCGACTGTTTAGTATAGGGTTATGGTTAAGTTTAAGGTTCATTTATATTGAAATGTTTTCTAAATTAGTTTGTGCCTGTCTTCATAACCAGCATTGTGTTGAAAGATGTAATGCAAAGAAAATGAAACGGACCTTACTTAGCGCAAGGAAATGACTGTATATAAGTCAGAATTTGATTGCTTTCTTTTCTTTTTTAACTTTGCAGAATGCTGCATCCTCGTGGCAGTTGAAATCTGCAGCACACCTGCTCTACGAAGGGAAATACACTGAGAGTTTAGACCTGTGTACGCCTTTGTTAGACAAGGTATGGGAAGAGCTGAACACGGGCTACTGGAAAGACGTGCCTCTGTGCTGGCGACAAGTGTACTCTTTCGTTTCGGTCATCAAAACCCTCTGCCTTAGTGCTTTGCTTTCAGACACTTCGAAAAACATTGATCATATGACCATTTTACGGACATGTGACATGGGTTTGCTAATGGGGGCTCCAGTCTTAAATAACATATTGGCTCGTATGTCAAAGGAGTTTCAAAATGCTTTTGGTGTGCTTGGACACTGGAAAAGAACAGACGAAAAGCTAGATGGAGACTCAGGTAACCATACTGGTGCTGGCAGTGAAAGTGGTGAAAGTCCTTCAAAAAAATTCAAACCAGATAAACAAACAGCAGAAAAAGACATTGCCGCTGAACAGGCTGCCTCTTCAAAAGATGCTGATACAGAAGCCCCTGAAAGTAAAAGCGTAATCTCCCTTCCTCCTAAATTAGACTCTCAAAGAGTCAGCGAGGTCCCGCGGTGCTCCTGCCCATCAGTTGAGATGTTCCACGCAATGTTTATGGACTCTGGTCATCCTGTGATCATAACGGACGCCATCGGCTACTGGCCAGCTTTGACAACTCGCAAGTGGTCGTTGGATTATTTGCGCTCAGTGGCAGGATGCAGAACTGTTCCGGTGGAAATTGGGACGAGGTACACGGAGGAGTCGTGGACTCAGAAGCTTATGACTATCTCTGAGATGATTGATAAATACGTGGAGAACCCGGCGACAGGCACGGCAAAAGCGTATTTGGCACAGCACCAGCTGTTTGATCAGGTAATGTGACATTCACTTGTTCGGCTCATTCTACATCAATGGCTTGAAAGATATAGTATAAATATTCTCTCGTGTGTGTGTGTGTTTGCTTTTTGGGGGGGTTGTTTTATTATTTATTGGTTTGTTTTTGTTTTGGTTGGGGTTTGGTTGGATTTTTAAAAATTTTTTTAAAAGTGGGGGGGGGGGGGGGTTCTTTTTTTCTGATTTCCTGATTTGGTGCTGGATATTTTAAAGTTGAATTTTTAAAAATCTCACAACATGGCAGTAATTGTTATGCTTCAAAAAGAAACAAAGCAAGAACAAGGAAAACTATTTGGTATTTGATGATGATGAATTGCCTCCAATAATAGGTACTTCATTTTATTTGACAAGATAACAATGCTTCTACCTTTCAATCATCTTGAAGTGCCCATAAAATGGATATATGATAACAATTCTGGATAATATTATGTTTGAGGGTAATTTCACTGCATAAAGTGCTCAGTGGGATCTGTGCAATTAGTTTCAAATGTCAAAAAAGAAAAAGTAATGCCCAGCTGTAAGAAGAAAGATATCCTGCAACGTTAGTAACTGCGATAAAAGAAATGTTATTTTAAACAGTATGAGAAAAGAACATTTAGTTCTTTCAGCTATCTGTTCTTTAATTTAATTCTGTATACCGTGTTTCAAGCATTGAAAGCAACTTGTTAAATCTTGTTATTCACAATTCTTCTAACCACTTTAACCAGACTATGTCTAAAACAGTGCTTTCCAACCAGGGTAGTTTTGTCCAGTAGCATTTGTACGTCTAAATTATTATATATAGTTAAAACAAACGCCATAATACCTAACAAAAGTGTGCATTTCAGCAGAGCATGCCTTTGTATGGCGTGCGTTTAGACGGAGACTACTGTACTAGGAGATCTGGTAATTTTGGTAGGAGATGGGGGTGACGTGGGTAGTGGAAGGTGTTATTTTATGACCCATTTGGAAATACACGGAGGTAAGTGCTTCTTCAAGGTGGTTAAAGTGGGTGCTGCCCATGAAAGGGTTAACAAGTACTGATCTGAAGTATATTATGTTCTGCTGAAGACTTTGAGAATCCAAAGCATTTTGGGGGGAAATCTGTAGCGTTCTGAATAAAGGAATATTATTTTGCTTGCACATTTGAGCCTTCTCTTACAGCCACCTAGTAGTAGTAGTGTTGATAGGGGCATTAAACACTTAAACTTACACTTCTAACAACCACATGCCTTTTTTTCATCATAATGACACTGTGTAAGACTTCCACCTGTCTAAGACAAGCACTTGTCTCCTCTACAATGGGTGGCTGTTTTAAACAGTTCCAACTGTCTACTGTTTCCCCAGGTGTGGGAGCTAAGAGATGACATCAGCGTGCCTGTCTACTGCTGCCTCGGAGAAGAAGAAGAGGTCGACATTAACGCCTGGTTTGGGCCGGCAGGAACCATTTCCCCTCTGCACCAAGACCCAAAACACAATTTCCTGTGCCAGGTAATGGCATGTCCATTTTGTCACCTTCTGCAATTGTCGGTTTATATTTCCTGAGTTTTATTTCCACCAAGAGTGATGTTAAGTTTTGGCTGATATGCTCAGTAAGGCTCAACAGAAAAAGAATGCTGCTACTTTCCTTTGGTACATAGATTGCTGATAATTATTAAAGACTGGGAAACATCAGACTTTATTGTTTTTCTTTTCTACTTTAGACTTATAGCATGACTAAATGCACCAATTCTTTAACGTGGATTGTTTGAAAAGTGTTCATGGCTTTCTGTCTGCCTGACTTTTTAGTACAGTAAAATATGATCTAACAGCCACCTGTTCAAGACAATCACCTGTCCAAACAACTATTTCCCATTTCCTCTCTTGTGTTTTATTTTTATTGAAATGACACTGTCCAAGACTTCCTCCTATCTGAAGGAAGCATTTTTCCCCTTGACAATGGGGGCCATATTGGACAATTTTTACTGCATTTTCGTCTGTCACTCTAACAGTCTATAAAGGTTTTGTTTCTATAAAGTTTCAAGGGAGTGATTTTCAAGTCTTATGAGCACGTAAACAAGCGTACTGTTTGTGAGTGGCTGGCAGGTGCTCTGGTGTGGTTTGCTCCTTCTTTCCTATCAAACATCTATCATCCTAAACTTTCCTCCTTCCTTTCTTTGTATGTTACTCTCTAGTAACCCCTCTAATCTTCAGCACTTATTTTTGACCTAATTGTGTTGCAAGGGCCGTAAAAGTCTTACATAAACAAAACAAACAAGCTTGCTCCGCTGTATTGTCCCCTCAGGTGATGGGAGAGAAATACGTCCGCCTGTACTCCGTGGAGCACTCAGAGAGCATGTACCCTCACCCGACACAGCTGCTGCACAACACCAGCCAGGTCGACCTTGACTCCCCCGACCTGGACCAGTTCCCAGCGTTTGCCAAGTTGCCCTGCCTGGAGTGCGTCCTGAGACCTGGTGAATTGCTTTATATCCCGCCTGGCCACTGGCATTACGTGAAGTCTCTGGCTATCAGCTTCTCCGTCAGCTTCTGGTGGTCCTAACTTCTGGATCATGTGCACGACTCTCATCACTCCTCAGTGTCTGGCGTAATTTTTCAAAATGAAGTATGGTGGAGTTTTACAAAAAGCAGTTGATTTTATAAAGACATAGACAAAATGAGCAAATGGATTAATTTTGCCATGTTTCCCCAAGCGTACTGTCAACATACAGCAGACGCAGCCTTCATGATTTTTTAATGTAATATAAACTCATGTTGAATTATTGATGTTTCCCACAAATTCACATTTGTGACCGGCAGCAAAAAGCGACCTTCATTGTTGATGATATGTTGTAATATTGTATTATTTTCTCAAGCATTTAATATTTCCTTTGCTTTATGTCCATATTCTCCTCTCCTAATGTTGAATGTTGTGGACGTTGTTGCTCATTTGTTGACTTTGCTGTGTATTAACTTCCCATCATGTCCTTTGGCATGTCATGAGCCTGTACATATTTTAACTTCTGTTTGTTTCTGATGAGTTCACACCTCAATGTGATCCCGTCTGGGGCAGACATTGTACTTCCTCATGGAGATTTACTATGGAGATGTGATGGCATTCACAAAAGTGGAGGATCTGTGACACAACGGGCAGTAAAATTACCCAAGTTATTGCTGCTTGGTTGATCAGCTCTCCTCACTGCAGCTCTTGTTCTGAAAATTATTATCTGCTATCAGTGAGATTTGGGATGTGAGCCAAGTGTAGTCTTTGAGACCAAGATCTTAAGGATGATTTTTGTGTAGTAAGAATTCTGCTCTTTTCTTAAAACATTAGGATCTTAAGCGAACCGGAATTGTAAGCGGCGGGGTCTTAGGCGGAGACTTCTGTAATAAAATCATATAAGGATCATTTTTGTATAGTTGTGTATGGATACATTTTGTATGTGATGTTAAGACATCCCAGTATTACTATGTTGATTAAACCACCTCCCTCCCAGCACCCCCCCCCAGCCTGCAATCGTTTTAAAGACTTCCAAGTATTGGTAAGTTGATGATCTTTTTAAGGCAGCATGTAATTTTTGCTTTATGAATTTGATTCCAAGCAATGATTTAGGAGTAGTTAAGGCTACCGGACTCATCATCGTGAGGTTGCGGATTGGGGGGTTTGAGCCGCGGACCTGACATTGTGTCCTTAGGAATGGCACTTTATACTCCAATTTTCTTCACTTCACACAGGTGGGAATGGGTTCCTGGCCATAGCCAGTGAAAGATCTTGTCAGTATGTTAGTGTTTTAGCGCCTATAAATGGCCGCTTGCACTGTATGCTTCCCATGATGTTGAGGTTGTTTCAGAATGCTCTCAGTTCTGCTGGAGTAATAGTATAGATTGTGAAGCGCATAGAGCTTGCTGTTACTGTTAGGAGGGGATTTCAGCTATACAAATGCTATCTATTATTATTATTATTAACTCACAGTCATTGTATTTCTGAGATATCAGCAGTTGCTGATCATGTAGCTCAGTGTAGAAAACATTTTAAGAATTTATCTGCCTGACACTGGCGTCTGTTGTATAATAATGTATAATAATAATGAAGATCATTTCTGTAGCGCCCACTCCCATGTAAACACTGCTCTAGGCGCTTTACATAAATGCATGTACGAACAATATTCTCGCATGCGACATGCACACACACACACACACACACACACACACACACACACACACACACTCGCACTCTTATGCACACGCACGCTAACGCACACACATACACACCCAAACACACTCACACACACACTCATGCACACATGTGCACACACATGGGCGCCACACACACACACACACACACACACACACACACACACACACACACACACACATACACACACACACACACACACACATACACACACACACACACACACACATACACACACACACACACACTCACACACATCTTTTGCTTATCGCTCACACACGCTTACACATCGTTATGAAATGAGCACATACACATAGTTAATAAAATAATGTACACAATGCAATTCGCAAAATACATAAATGGATACATAGTCATTTACATAACATTGTACTGAACATGAATCTACTGACATAAAAATGGTGTCATTAAATGTGTCTTTAAAGATTTTTTTAATTTAGACTCAGAGTTGTATGTCTCAAGGGTTTGGGAAAAGAGTTCCAAACTGATGGAGCAAAGTGTTAGGTGCTTCACCATTGCACGCAGGAGACCTGGGTTTTGATTCCCATGTGGGTAGAAATATTTATGAGTTTTTCTGCTTGGTTGTTGTATCCCTCTCTGTTCAGGTTGGCTCCCACAGGCAGGGTCAGAAGCCCACCTTCTGAATGATCTAAATTGTGCCAATGGACGTGTGAAAGCACTTACTTTTTTAAAAAGTAGTAGGCCTACTACACATTGACATTGTAAAGGTTAGCTACAAGCAATAGGCAGCTCAGGTAGCTCGGTGTAGAAAATGTTGTTGTTGTTGACCCAGCTCTTGTTGACTGACATGGCAGGGTATGTAGAGGTGGTACACCCACACAGTACCGTTGGACCTTATTTTTTATGAGGATTTTGTTGACTTTGGACATGTATAAATTTTTAACCCACCGCTTTTCTATTTTAATTAATCTTTACTGCTTCCACCACTTTTATCGAGCAGTTTCTCAGCTAAAAATGACTTATTGTACCATGTTTTTCTCTTATTTGACATAATAGTTGAGTAAATACGAGTATAACTTAAGATCCATGACTGTCACTTTGCAAACAAAGTTCATGTCTTGCATCATATTATGAAGAGCAAAGGGGAAAATAGGCATTTCTGTTTCACTGGTATCACTGCAACTTATTGTTATTGCCAGTTGAATGGGAAGTCAAACAATTATAATTAACCAGCAGTTTAACAAAAATTCTTCCCCCTTCCCACACCCCTTGAATTGAAATAAAATCCTTGAAGTGAGTCTGCTTCACTGATTTTGACCGGCACAATGGTTCCGTAGGTACCGTAGACATATCATCAACTCGAGAAAGGCTTTAATGTTAGTCCTATAGGCATATCACCTAGTAATACCTCTAATGTTCAGCTCTTATACAACTATTTGTCTTGCAAGTGCTGTAAAACTCTTACTAAATCTAAAACTAAATGGTTGGGTCATCTCTCTTTTATATGTATAGGTTGACAAGTTACCTGGTAACACACCGTGAAGAAAAGCTTCATTTGTAGGAATGGAGAATTTCCTAGCTTTCTTGCAATGCAAATGATTCATATATCGTCTTGTTATTCAAATATATGCATTCCAGTATAAGTAAAAGTCATCTCATTTTCTAACCCTGGCTTCAGAATTGCCTTTCTCATTTCTGTCATGTTTTTTTTATATTTTGGTATGCCAGTGTATCTCTTGTTTGTGGCGGTATTACTGAATATAATAGATCTATGCTGTGTTTATGCGTCTGTCCATCAACTCTACTCAACAATAAAGTATTGCCTTTTGTACTAATAAGTGGTTACCTCAGGCCCCCTAGTCTGCTTTTCTTTGTGTGCTGGCTGTAAGAGGAATTAGCTGTGAGCATATATATTTATGTGTGTGTGTGTGTCCATACGTAATTATGTAGCACAGCCAGATTTTCTTCATTTTAGCAGGTGGTTTAGAGAGGTTGCTCATAATCAGGGTGTCTTAAAAAGAGGACCCATCTAAAGGGCAATAACTCAGTCATCTCTGCACCTATTTCAACAAAACTTCGAGCAAAGAAAATTCAACCTTGAGGACATCAAGTCTGCACATATGAAGAAAACCAATTGAAGCATTTGACAATTAATCAAGTTTCTAAAAATTCAACCAAAAGTGGGTAAAACGCACAATTTTACTTCTTGGAAAGCGTTTACCTATAGAGGCGTGGTCGGCCCATTCTGGTTTCAGTCAGAGCAAGAATGGTAAAACCACGACAGTCACATTAGATGGTTAAGTGAAGCTTGCATTAGGCCTTCTAGTGTTTGACTTGTCTGTATACTGTATGTGTACAGGAACCCTTTTTGTGGGAGAGAAAATCATTGTAATATAATATAACAATTAGTCGCACTGTTGGCAGATTAGAGCTTCCGCTGGGCAGGCAAGAAATCCAGCTTTTCTTTTTATTGGGAGGGGCACAGAAGAGGAAGAAGAGTGACTATTGGTTGTGAATGTTTTATGCCCCCATCGACATACAGTTTAACGCGGATAGCTCGAGTTCGTCAGGATAGGCCTTGGTAGTTCAAGGGATATCTTACAAAGATAAATAAGACGAAAAAACGGGACCGTAGGCACATTTCGACGGATGCGTGATTTCAAGTCTTCCATGTTTGACCTGTCCGTGTTAGATTGACGTATTCATTTTAATCATTTAAGAAACCGCATGTCAACAGAGCATTCAATAAAAACGTGTCAGTCTCTGTCAGATCTGTGCGATTTGAACATTCCCAACCTCGCTTGTTCTGTGTCCTAATCCTTGAGGGATCACCAAGGGGATCCCACCCCACCAGGGGACCCCACAGAGGGGATCTAACCTAGTTGATCACGCTCAAGGGACCACACCACACACACCCACCTGTCAAACATCTATCGTCCTCATCTCTCCCCCTCCTTTTTGTGTTTGTTACTCTCTTGTAACACCTTTAATCTTCGGCATTTATATGACCTTATTGTGTTGCCAGTACTATAAAACTCTTAATGAAACTAAACTAAACACCCAGCCAGGGGATACCACCCAGGGATCCCTCCTACCTACCGCAAATCAGGAAAGGGAAACTGAAGAGACAGGCAAAATCAGGTTCTCCTGTGGCCATGTGTTTGATCGAACCAGGAATGGAACTAGCTGTAGGCACGTTGTGACTTAGCTCGAGGGTTCCATATGGGAAGAGGAAAAGAATAACTGAAGAAAAAAATGTAACCAGTGTATTGTTCATTGATACAAAAGAAATAGGCCTACAGTTGAAATTGTCTGAGACGGCCACACATTGTCGAGGAGTAAAGTGATTGTCTTAGACAGGGGGACATCTTACACAGTGTCTTTATAATGTCATGTACTCAAAGGAAGAAAGGGGCAGTTTCTGTTTGCACAGGTTGTTCGTTGTCTTATAAAAATATAAGTAATCGTTCGAGTGAGAGCAGGTTTGACTATACGTGGAAATCATGAAAATCCCGTTGTTCACAATGGCTCCAGGGATGCAACCCGGTTCATAGTAGAACGAACATTTCCGTGGTTACCGTCCCTGAATTATCACCTGTCCGTGACGTCTAATCTAGGTCAGGGGGACAGCCCAGGTATGAAATTCCCAGCACAGCGTCACTACAGTCGCAGATCGTTGACTTGACGCTGAGCTTCCAAGATGGCTGTCCTGCTCAGGCAGTTAGGACTGCATTTCCTGGTTTCGCTTTTACTCATCACATTCACTGAGCACTTTACACAGGCGATAGGTGAGTACCGAACAAACGCTGGTCTACTGAGTGGTGTGTTCGTGTGCAGCTGACGAAAAGATGTATTCCCATTCATTTTTAAGCTTGGGGTCACATGTTTTATTTGAAACTTTTGAACTTGAACTCCTAGGGAATGAGAACAAGAGGAAGAAAGTCAAACAGAGAGTGCAAAATCATTGTTGTTGGATATAATGCCAGAGACTTCAGGTGTAAAAAATAAGTTTGCTCCTACTCCTAAAGATATTTCTCATTTCTTTCCCTGTTCATGTACCACGTTTATTTTGGTGGCATACACCGTTGGGCGGATAGGTTTCATAAAAGTTTCAAATGAATGGACGTATCAAGATCTAGAGTCTAGATCCAGATCTAAACATTCAAAAAATCAAGACTATAGTTTCAGGGTTAATTCAACCAGAACGATGTGAATCAGTTTTACTGTTACACAGCATTCTACTTCAAGTGTCAGGTCTGGAGCAGAATTTGACGATCACGATACCCCACTCCTTCTTGTTTTCTGTCTTCTTGATCAGCTCGGTTTTTCTCATTGTGTTATTTGTTCCAAATTTGTTCAGTCGATTTGTGTATGCTGTTCTCTCTCTTCCTCTGCTCTTCTTTCTTGTTATCTTTCTGCACCGTAGCAGTTTCTCTAGTTCATTTGAACTGTATGTGTGGCTAATATTAGGCACTACTGTACTGTCAAACAGTAGACGGGCATGTTCGAAAGCACTCAGTGTGAGACTTCTTATCTGTAAGTCAATGATTTACCAGAATGTCCAACCTGTCAAGTCCAAGACACACATAATAAACTTGATGACATCCAGGTATTACACACGACACACGTGTGGGAGACATGCAGTTACGGACGCCGTAAAAGTTGATTGTTTATCAAATTGTAAAATATTTCTCTTCCCCTTTTTTCCTGCCAGGTTTGGTTTATTATTATTATTATTATTATTATTGTTATTATTGCTGTTATTATTATTGTTATCATTATTATCACTTTATTATTGTTGTTGCTGTTATAATCATTATCATCTTCAACATTACATGTATTATTATTATCATTATCATCATCATCATCTATCATTATCATTGTTATCACATTATTATCATCTTCATCATCATCATCATCATCATCATCATCATCATCATCATCTATCATTATCATCGTTATCACATTATCATTATCATCATCATCACCATCATTATTATTATTATTATTATTATTATTTAATTTTTTTTGTTATGAATAAGTGTTCTTATGTGTGCTGGAGTAATAATAGCTGAAGCGCACAGAGCATGCTGCAGAGTTATGCACTATAAACGTGCAGATGTTGGGTTTTTTATTATTGTATTATTATTATTATTACTATTTTTATTTTTATCACTATTTTTAGATTGTTTTCATTTTCTTATGAAGTGAGTATAACAAGATTAAGGAAGTTAACCATGATAATACAGACTTTGATGGGTTCATCCAAGCAAGCTGGTTAGGGCATACCTGTCGAAATGCTGCCTACTTTGAGTATCTCTGCTCTCAATATGTCTGTTTTGTTTTGGGGTTGTTGTTTTGTTGGGGTTTTTTGGGAGGGGGTGTTGTTGTTTTTTTCTCTGACTTCGTCACTTTTTTAACCATCACATCTTGTTTTGTCTTTCTCACTTGTGCAATCTCGAATAGGAGAAATAGGAGAACTGTGTGGGAGGGGGGGGGCACAGGTGGTTAACGGGTGCTCTGGGTGGTTTGCTCCTTCATTCCTATCAAACATCTTCCGTCCTTATCTCTCCTCCTTCTTTTTCATGTTTGTCAGTCTCTTGTATTGTAACACCTCTAATCTTCGACACTTGTATGATATAATTGTATTGCATGTGCCGTAACACTCTTACTAAAACTGAAATATGAAAGAGAAACAGGCAGTCAGACAGACAGACAGAGAATCAAAAAGAATATTTCAGCGGGGACTGTTTTGTAATTGCTTTTTGGGGTATACATGAGTGGGGGTGGGGAGGACGAGAGGGAGGGATGCAGGATATATTTACTGACTAGTTTGTACTACTTTCATACATAATTCATGGTATGAGAAAAAGAATACATTGTGCTCTCGAAATTGTCCAAGACAGTCACCTATTGTGGAGGAGAAAAAATGGTTGTCTCAGACAGGTGGACGTCTTAATAAAACAATGGCTTAATAATTATATATAGAGAGAAAAATGTAAGGGGGGGGTGGGAAGAGTGTGAAGTGGTCGTTTTACGAGTGATTGTCTTGGACAGGTAGTCATTAGAGCAGGTTTGACTGTATTTTAAAACCGAAGAGCTTCACGAGAAACGGGGGGGGGGGGGAGTCCATGGTGTAGGGTGCTTTCAAAGGTAAGCTAGCAAAGAATGGGCCACCTTTTTTGTTGTTGTTTTTTTTTTATTATTTATTATACGTGATATTACTTGCCTGGTGTTACAGTTTAAATCATTAAGGAGGCGGGCGTTCGACTCTGCTTGTCAGGGGCAACCCAGGCTGAGAGGGATAACATTACAACATCCCAGCAGAAAGACCGAGATGCTCTATAAAAACAATTTTCTCCCGGGGGGCTCTCGTGGCCTAGAGGTTAAGGTGTTGGCCTCTCATTCAAAGGTCCCAGGTTCGAATCTGGGAAGCGACCGAAGAATTTTCTTCTCTAAAATTTTCCCCTTTCACCTCATTTTCTGCTCTCGTCTGCTTTCGTCTCCTCTTTCTGTACCACCCCTCACCTCATTCGCCCCCTCCTCTGGGCTCCTGACTCTTTCTGCTGCCTTTATACTGCTACTCCTTGGCTCCTTCTTACAGCTGTCTTTCAGCCACACCCCTGATCATCTGGTAGGAAAGATCTACCCCTAGCCTTCTTGGACAAGGGCGAAAAATCTCGGAGGCCCCGTGTGCAAGTTGCGCTCGTTAAAGGTCCCTTGGTGGTCTAAAATCGATAAGAGTAGGCTTCGGCCGCCACCCGTGCAAAAATTATAAATTTCCTACCAACTGTAAAATAATAGGTCCGCCCCGCGCGCTCACGTGACCTTATGCAGTTGCGAGCGCC